TGGGACCGTTTAAGGTTCTAGCACGTGATGAAAAAGTGTTGAGAAACAGGACTATTCCCATGATCAAGGTACAATGGGAAGGATTGACTCCTGAGGACGCCACTTGGGAGCGGGAGAATGAAATTCTCCAGCGATATCCTGAGTTTGATGTCAGGTATATGTATATTTGATATTTGATTTTGTGGGCAAAATCCTTAAAAGGTGGGGTGAATATAATGACCCTAACTGGTAAATCTTAGTTAGAGATTTAATTTAAGGATTTAAATGCCATAATTAGATTCAGTGAGCGATTTCGAGTATTTTGACTGTAATCATGACTATGTTATGAACAGTGCGTTCTGCCGGAGAATTTACAGTTTTGTGAATTAACCGGTAGAGCTTAAAATGAGCAAAATAATTTTAGGAACATAATTTGAAAATTCTGATGACAAATATGAGTTCAGAACGAAAAATTGTATAGTCTGGCACTTTCCGTGAAAATCTCGTGAATAGTGTTTCTACCGGGTATTTTGTACTGCTGTTTAAGCAACCGGTAGAGTCCAGAAATAAATAATTGATGAAATAAGAATAAGAAAGTCCAATATATGCCAAGCAAGTCAATATAGGCCCAAGAAAATGATAAGTTTATAAGTTTTAAGTTTCGTAAGTAAAGGAAGTACAATTAGTGATGCACAGTGCATTTCGTCAAAAACGGTGCAAAAACCATACTGTGAATTATGAATATTGTTACTTAGGAAATAAAAATTAATTTAAATGACTTTAGAAAAATAAAAATATATCTGTAGCTTTAAGTTAAGTTCCGGGTCAATTAAGTAAAAATACGCGATAGAAAAACAACCGGGTAAAAGGGCCACATGTGCTTAAAAGCTTAAGTGACTCAAATGAGCACTATTCAAAATCAGCTCTCTCTCCTCTCTTCCTCAAAGAAGCCGAGCTGCACTTGGTGAAAAGGGGGGGTAGGGTTTGGTTCTTCATTTCTTTGATTCTCACTCCAAAGTTAACCAAATCACAAGTCCCACTACTTGAAATCGATGGGAAACCACCCAATGAGTCCATCCCACCCATTTATTTGAGCTATCATTGGTTGTGTGAGGAGATATTTCCTTCCCCAAATTCGTGTACTATTCATCAAGAGGGCAAAATGAAGTTTTTGATGGAGATTCTCTTGGTGTAGGTCTTCTAGGCTTTGGGTAGTTGATTTGAGGTAACAAACCTCTATTTCCATGATGTTGTTTTGATTATTTAAGTTATAAAATTGTGTATATGCCTTGGGTGGAAAAGCATGATGTGTTAAAATATGTATTGATGAGGAATAATTGATATTTTGATGTATAAAATGAAAATAAGCATTTGTATGTATGTAAAAAAATTAGAAAAAAATCCTATGATTTCCTCTACATGTTCGGCCATCATAGATGAAGAGTAGGTTGTTGTGCAAAATTTTATCTTAAGTATTAGGAAGGTTTAAGGTGTAGGAATTAAGTGGAAATTTGATAAATTAGTGAGAATGCCAAAGTGGGAAAAATTATATGAAATATGCCCTTAGGTTTAGGCCTTGTGGGGCTTTGGAGGGACTTTATGCTCCAAAAATTAAGTTGGAACCTTATGAAAACATGTATTTGTATGTGTAAGTTACGTGTAAGTGAAGAAAAAGAACCTTTGTCTATGTCCTTGTAGTGTTCGACCTAGAGGGTGGTATAGGAGTATATTTTGTTACATTTTATTGTAAATAAAATGTGTTCTAATTCATTGTATAAAATTGATGAGTTAAGAAGTGAAATGACTCGAAAAATGGTTGAAAAATACCTTGGGGTATGATTAAATAAAATGGCATGAATGATATTGACCAACGGTTATAAAGAATGCTAACGAGTATAAGACTTGTGTATTGGCATAGGATTGGCAAAAATGCAAAGAAAGGAAAATAAGCGATAAAATGTATGCTTATGAAATAATTATGGTATTGCATCATTTTATTGATGCATTGTAAATTATTCTCTAGGTGTGCCTAGGGATTGAGAAGGATCGGAAATCTCTTGAAGCGATAAAAGTAACTTGTTCCACAAGTAAGCGTATTGGTAAAGCTTCAAGAGGTAAGCTCTATGTTTAAGGAGTCTTTTCCTGCTTGAGTGCTCCACCATGGTTAGTGAACTATGGTTGGACTGTATGACTGTGATTTAGATGCTTTGTATAGATGCATTCATATAGAGTTATTTGATAACATGATATGTTTTGCTCTGATATGACTTCTGTAATATGATTTCTGTAACAATCTCTGGCCATTGATTGTATAGTACCCGGACGTCCGCTTTGGGGTCCTCCCTCGGGACTGATGGTGTACTCCTCTGATATGTCTGGTTCCGCTTTGGGGTCCTCCCTCGGGAACACGTGCGTTGATTTCCGCTTGGGGTCCTCCCTTGGGAATGACGGCGCACATCTCTGATATGATATGGATATATGCTCTGTTCTGTTATGATATCTGTTATATGTTGTATTTGTATACTCTGTATCTGAATTTCATGCAGGAGTGAGCCAGGGGTATGGAGAATTCTCTATAAACCTGGAGCTTATTGAGATTTGTAATCTCACCCCTCTTTGGGGACACATTTTCAGGGGCCCAGATTTCCGGTGAGTCCTCACTAGGCAGGGACACGACACGTGGCTGAGGCAGTTGACAGACCGGATTTTGAGTGGCTGTAGGCTACTACCTTTTTGGAGTGTTTGATGTATTTTAGTATTTTCGCATTTGATGGATCATGATATTGATCCTTTATTTTGTATATGGCCTGTATATGTTTTGTACATGTCTATCAGTTTGATGCATGTACATTTGAGTATTCAGGAACGTTATATGATGATGTAGTATTCAGATAGGTTTATGTTTTGATGGCATGCTGTTAGATTTAGTGGCACGGAGCCATGTTATGCATGCGCCCATATATGGGTATTTGATTATATTTGGATATCTGGATTTCTGAATTGATATGTTGTATAAACTGTTTATCAGGAAATGCTTCTGAGTGGGATTGGAAAATCCCCAGTTGTCCGATTTATAGAGGAAACTCTGTCCGGTTTTCGTTTACGCCGAGTAAGAAGTAAGTTAGAAAAAGAAAAAGTTAGCTCATATTTTTGTAAGTTAAGTCTTCCGCTGTTTGTATCATATGTATGTTAATTGAACCGGCTCGAGACGGGGATGTTACAATTACCATCATCAATTACCATCTTAAGCTTCATAGTTTAATATCTAACCTCACTGATCCTGACAGATTTTCCTAGTTTTCCTGCTCCTCCTGTGTCTCACTGAACATCACAGTTAAATGGCACAGGTCATGGAAAAGATAGCATTTCGAATTCAATTCAGCCACAGATAAAAAAGAACTATCAGATATTTCATTATCCATGCTTGCAGTTAAGCCACCATTATCTCCTTAAACAACAAATATTATCACCACAGCTGAAAAACAATTTCATTGGTGAACATATAATGAGAAACAATGGCCTTAATGAGGGTTGGTAATCTCTTCAGATATTGGTAGTTCACCTTGCTTAGTACATGATGCTGGCAAAGATTACGATTAAAGATTTTGGTGAGCTGTCTTAGCTAGGTGCTTAATAGCGACCCGATTCCAACCATTCATATTCATTGGTCTTGGAATCAAAGCTCTCAAAAGCAAAAGTGAACATGTGAAAGGGCAGCTTTTAACATAGGTACTGCATCCAAAAGCTGTATATAGGGCAGGTTGCATGCTTTTAACAACAATGATGCATGTCGAATTCCATCCTCCACAAGTATCATTTTCTTGCCTCCTCCTTTTAACTTCCCTTAGTCTCTTTCTTGCTTTAATGGGGGGTCATGAAACCACAGCTTCACATGGGTTCAAGAAGCACGAAAACCACCACTAACAGCTTCCCAATATCCCATTCAGTGAACATGGGCAGATTATAAACAGTGCTGCATTATAATGGATACATGCTCAAAAGTAACCATCTAACATATAGGATCAATAGATACAGGCACCACAACCAAGGAAAAAAACAAGATAGAGGCAATCAGGGACCACTAAACCATGACCAATACACATTTGTCCATAGCTATATCTACTACTTTCTTTGTTAAAGCAATTAAAAAAGTTCACCAAACCCTTTGCGGTATTAAGACTAATCCTGAAAAGACGGCCCCACCAAGTCAATCATATAGAAAAGGGAAATAGCATATGCATTTTCAGTGAACATCCAAAAGTGAGATATTATTTGATCAGCCATCAGTTAAGTTCACTAGCCGGGAGGCAGGAGATGGTGGCTTCCACTCACGAAGTTCGATAGCAATGTCAAAACTAGGGCCCATGTACATGAAGCAATAAAAAATTTAATCCAATATTGCATCTAGTGGAACTAGTTTAAGTTTCTGAAACTAAATATACCATTCTAGTAAAAAGAACCACGTAATGGAGCAATGCCGAATCACAACAAATCTCATTGCATTTCTATAAAAAAGGAATATAAAAATTGAAATTCTGTATTGTTCTTTTTCCAAATAAGTTGTTCCTAACTAGGTGATATTCAATTCTAATGAGGAAGTTTATCCAATTTTTTACTTACAAAATGTGACACTTGAATGAAAGCAAATTGATATGTAGAGTTACCATTCGGTAGTAGTAGTACCAATCCTTTGAGTTAGAGAGGAAGGGGATTTCTTCCCCATAAGAATCCCCTTTAACGAACATTATAATAAGTGTCTAATCAGTCTTATAAAGATAAGGTTCTGTTCAATCAACAAAGGTAATCAGGTTTAATCGACTAAACATCGCAGGGGAAAACAGACTACTAAAAAGTAGTAGAAAGTAAAAACAATAAAAAGTGCTAAATCATGCAATTCTTTGGCTTTTTTCTTTCCATTTAATGATTAGCACACATGTTAAGTCAATTACTCAAAGGAATCCCAGAAGGCATAGAACCACAAAAACTGAAAAAAAAGGAAATAACTCTGCACTGTTATTTGCCCCCCAAATTTCTCTTTTTGACCATTGAATCAGTTCTTGGCCTTGACAGAGTTATTCTCCTTGATCCTTGCTCGGTTATCCAGCTTAACAAAGCGTTTAAGATCTTCATAAGGGAGTGCTTCAATATTCTTCCTACGTAATTCACTCAGTGCTGGGCGTTTATCAAGCAGATGCCACAACCAGTCAGGGTATTCTGTATCAGGCAGGATTTTTGGATCAACTCCATCCTTGAGAATGTTGGCACCTACAACTGTACTTGACTTGATTTCTTTGCTAAGACTTGATGCTTTGGGTGCATCAGCAGGCCCACCTCCTTTAGATCCTTTCTTTGCTTTACCAGTGGCAAAAGTTCGTTGGCATGCAACCCCAAATGCCTCTTTGGCGGTAAGAATGTGCCTAACAGACCTGGCATGGTTCATTGCCATGACTATGTTCTGAAAGACAAGTTTATATCACTACAGGGAGGAACATAATTATATAGAAAAACTCAGTAAGAATACATTGTACAGATCTACATAAACTAACCACACTGCACAAATATTTCTAATCTGTGTGTGGTGAATAGTGGTTCTCTAAATATTGAATTCAACACCTTCAGAGACCTACTTCATAAATAGGACACAGCCCATCGACCTCAACTTCTACCTTCCCTTTTAAAAATTCTCCTTAAGAATTTAATAAAAGTAAAACTATCATCAATTAATGGGGCTTAAAGAGAGTAGGTTATTGACAAGGATGCAATTACAAGAACCTGATATCATTCGTCCCCTACCCCAACACCACACCTACAGATCTTTAATTTTCCATGCCCTGTGAGAAATTGGCAATCAATTGTGATATAAATCTACCTAAAATCTGTGGGCAGGATTACAACAGCAAAATCTAAAAAAATAAAAACCCTTCCCATGAATCCCCAACAGCAGTATCTATATTCTATAAAAAAAAATAATGATTGTTTAACAGTATCATCTCAAATAGAATAAAAAAAAAACATAATTAAAATAATTGCATTTCAGAACCTGAAAAACAGCATATACATTGCACTATAATTCAAATTAGCAGTGAATATGTTTACATTCTACTTCCAGGCCTGTATATGTTTGTGAAGTGAACAGTGAAAGAATGCAATTCCTAACATTAAGGAGTAAGTAAGATCTTAAGACAAATATGAACTCAATCTAAACATTTTTAACAAAAATTGAATATAAAATGTAGTTTCTCAACATTATTAAAATGAAAATAAAATAAAATTTCTTACATGAACTACTTTTAAAATTGAATGAAACCAAAATCTTCAAAGAAAAGAAAAATAGAAGAGAAAGACTGAACAAAAATTAAACAAATAAACAAACAAAAAATGATGAAAATGAAAATGCCAAAGATAATGGAGAAAAAAAATTCATTTCCAGGGAAAAGCAGATGCAAGTGTTCATTAGTTCATTCATCTCATCTTTCTCAATTCTATTGAGAGAAGAAATCAAAGAGAAAAATGAAGACTTACACTTTAAATTATACGACAGAAACAGATCGGTGGCTCCGGCGTCGAACGGTGGCTTCCGCCGCCGTTGCTTCTATGCTATGATGATGCCTCAACGTCTGAACTCGAAGCGGCGTAACGGCGTCTTGATTCGGTTCAGTTCAACCAGAGATCCAAAATGGGAACAAAAAACCCGAATCCGACAAAACGAACCGTTTCTTTTCTAAGACCTTATGGGCCCGAATTGACAATTAGACACAGAACCCAAAATAGGCCCAAAATAGAAAATAATGGTCCATCAAGCCCAATTGCAGATGCTTGTCCTCGCATAACACTTTCAATTTGAACTTATTCGTCGGTAATTTTATCTTTTTTCCCTTTCTTTATTGAGGAATTACTAATGAAGAAAACATCTTGAGCTAGGGGTGCTGGCAATTTTTATTACGAGGATAACATGAAAAATTCATATTTGTACCGTTTAGTTCTGTGAGCTCACGATGTACCCTTTGAGAGTAATGTTGTTGTATGGATGGTACCTCTAGCTGAGGTAATGACCAGGCTAGAAGGTATTATTCCAAGAACAAGTAAGCAGATATCAATGGTAGAAAAATAGTAAGGGTATGACTTAAGAGTAAATGGGCATAAATACAATACATAAAAGATGCTCTTCCTGCTGTGCCCATGAGGGCTATTTATAAGAAAAATTGTGTGGGTTGGTGAGGTGGGGGTCAGACCTCTTGGGATGTGTTCCCCTGTTGGCAGTGTTAGGCACGGTTGGCGCTGCCACAATGGCAGCGCTGCACCCACTGCATCAGGCGATGTCAGCACCGAGCAAAGGGGCAGATTCCTTTGCAGTGCTTATGGCGACTGCCTTTAGCGGTTAATGTCCCAAAGTGGGACATTTTGATGTATCTTTTGGACGTGCTGCAGTCTTGGAGATCGTGAGAGTCCACGTCAGCCCTAAGGGCTGACGCAGAAGAAGGCTGAGGATTGGGCCTGAGTAACTGGGCCGCTCCAGTGCTTGGGCCATCCAGAACAGGAGCCCCCCAGCTTGACAGCAACCGTAAGATAGTGCCAAGTTAAATGCTTTGGGCGTTACCTCTAGGGCGATCACCTTGATTGATATCGAAAGAGTGACAGTTTGTCTCTAGCTCCTCCCAGGGTATTTTGGGATTTTGTTCTTCTGGAATTTCTGGCGTTTTACTTGGGCGTCCTTCGAGAGGTAATCTACTACAAAGCCCCTTATCGCCGTGGCGCCAGGAGCCCCCCAGCCTGGTAACGAGCATAGGCTGGTGCCAAGGCAGGTAGGATTTGGCGACGCCTTGTTTGGCGATGTGAAATATTTGAGCATGGGCGATTCCTTTTGGTGATTGTTGTAACAAGGTCATTGATGACGATGATTGGTGGGTGACACCCAGTGAAAAGGCTGCCGCTTCTGGAACTTTAGGAGGCTTTTCAGTTTTCGAGGATTCGTAATGATGAGTTTTCCCATCATTACCATTTATTGCAGGCATCCAAGCGTCACAGGGTTCGGCGCATTAATGCGACGCGACTGGTGACCTGTCCTTTGAAGTGACCACTTTGCCCCCTTTTCTCGACCGCCCGTTGCACGATGGCTATGTCATCGTACGGTTAAGTGAGGAGGACTTACACGTGTCTGTGCGAGACCTTCTTTTGTCCTTTTGAAATGACCACCTTGCCCCCTTTTCTCAACCGCCCATTGCACGATGGCTGTGTCATCGTACGGTTAAGTGAGGAGGACTTACACGTGTTTGTGCGAGACCTTTCTCTTCCTCTTTCTGTATAAAAGGTGAGACCCTTTGTTGGGGTTCTTCCTTACGCGAAACCTACTCTGTTGCGCTTTTTGCTCAAAGCCTTTGTTTCCTATCCTCAGTTCAGTGTGATAGTGTTGATCTTCTTTCTCTCCTTTTCTGCAATTCTCAGGTATAGTCCTTCTTCTCTTGTCGTTTCTATTCTTATTTCTGGTTGTCTTCTACTCCTTTTTCTGCTGTATCGATGGTTGGGTTTACAGAACCTATCCCTGGTCTCGTACTTCCTGAATCAGAAGTAGAAATTAAGGAAGAGGAGTTTGATGAGGCCTTTGAGGCACTGGGGGATAGTGCAGTGGGGCCAACAATGCGAGAGTATCTGGCTAGTTGCGCCCCAAGTCGTCCTTTAATTCCTGGGGTTGAGAAGTTGCCCCATGGGAAAGTACCCGAACTTTTGGGTTTTAGTGAAGTGGAGATTCAAAATCTTCTTCCCGAAAGAGCTTTAGGTCTTGTGCTCCCGTATGCTGGCGAGGCGTCATGTTCTAATCCCCGTAGTGGGCGCCGTGGGTTAGTTGGTGATGAGAGTTCCAGATCTGGCGGGCGTTCGCCTGCCGGCTCTAAGAGGCGAAAGGTTGCTTCACGTCGTCGTGTTTCGCGGCGCTCTGATCTCGGAACTGGGTGATTAATTCGACCCGTATCCAACATCAACCGGCAGCGACAAAACCGTCCTTTAGAGTGTTATTTCCACCCTCGCCCTTCTTCAGTTGCCCTTCGGACGTCTCATGGTCAAATTCCTCCCATCCCCAAATCTTTCCATCGTCGTATGTATGATGAGTCCACAGAGAACCGTTTAGGTAGATACCACCCGGAGGATGATCGCCTTATAAGGAATGGCGTGTGGGACGCCATTTTTGAAGACATAGGGCTTTATAAGATACCGCCTGCTTGGTGGCCTTCTAACCTGAGCTATTCAGATTTTTATTCAAGTTCATCAGACACCTCGGATTCTGATGGTGAGTTAACTGTGTTATATTTTTCTTTTTTCTTTTCGTTGTGCCTGACGTGGGGGGTGTTGGAGGTGACAGGGGTGTTGATAGGGTGAGTTGGACTATCCCGTTTCCTTTTGCAATGTTCTTCTTGGCGTCAGTGAAGTTTAGGGGATTGACTGTGTGTTTGTCGTTCCTAGGTAGGACTTTAAAAGACTTTCTAGACTTATGGCGACTGTTCAGTCGGACGACGGTCTCGGGGCGCGGGAATGGGTTGATCCCGTGGTGGCCACAACCTCTTCAAGCTACTCTGACAAGGGTATCTTACGCAGCCACTATAAAGGTGAACCCAGCTTCAGCATAACTGAAAATGGTGCAAACGAGGCGAAGTGGCAACCGGTCGCGGTCGGTGCTGATGATCGGGCCTGTGACGCGCCTCTTATGGCGCTCCGATCACGGTGGCGATTTATGGTGTACAAAACTCACTTTACTAATCAGAAAGTGAGGTTTCCACTGTCCGAGTTCGAGATGGAGGTGTTATCTCACTTACAGGTCGCGCCTTCGCAACTGCATCCCAATGCTTGGGAGTTTGTCAGAGTTTTCGAGAGTATATGCAAGTATTTCGATATGGCCTACTCTGTACAATCATTCTTCTACTATTTTCAAGTGTCGCCATCCAAGAAGACGAAGCTTGGCTGGGTTTCATTGAAGGCGGGCAATGCGATTGGATCAATATTTGCCCAGTACGCCAACTCTTATGAGAATTGGACGCGTACCTTCTTTTGGATTGAACCAGTGTTGGGCGAGGGCAAGCTCCCTTTCTTTGTTGATCCGTCGAGTGAGGAGTGTCGGTTTCCCCTATACTGGACTAAGGCTCATTACGAGACGCCGGCCGGTCAGTACTCGTTTGCTCTAGGGGTCCTGTCTCTTGGGGAGGTACAGGCGATCAATTGGTTTTTGGAAGTGAAGGGGGGTCTTGACCGGTGGCCCACGAAGCAAGTGTTGTGCCATGGAGGTGTGGTGGCGTTCAATGTTGTTTTTATTTGTGGCGATATATACTGTTGTTTCTTGTGTTTACTCTTTCTTGTATTTGTGCTGACTTGTCTTGTTGTTTGTAGTTGGAAGCATGGCGACCAATGCGTTGAAGCTTGCGCGTGATGCAACAGCTAAAGTGAGGGCCAAGCAGGGTGTGGCGCCTCAGACTCAGACCATCCTCCCTTCTAAAAGGAAAAGCTTGGACAAGGGGAAAGACAAAGAGGTGAGACCGAAAAAGAAGAAAGTTCGTTCTGCTGCTGACATCCCTGCTGGTGAACTTGAGAAACGGGCTAATCGCCCCATTATTAAAGACTTCATTGGCGTGACTGGCCATTCTTCTGCCAGTGAATCAACTTTGGGGTCTGGATTACGAGATGCGACAACAAGCTTGACACCTCCCAGATCTTCCCAGGCGAGACGCACTGAGACTTCTGGGGGCGGTCTGACTTGGGACGGCGCTTCTGAAAATGATCAAGCGATTAACAATGCTCCAGGCGATGGAGAGGATGACCACCCTCGTGGGCCATCTGAGGCTGTAGGTTCACCTCCTCTTTCTGCAATTCCTGTGAGCAGGGCGCTCCGCTTATCGGAGAGGGACCTTATCCACGGATTCCCTAATATCAGGCGTCCTAAGATGGTAATGTCTGCGCATTTCGACCGTCAGCAGTTCATGGACAATACCCAAGTGATTATTGGACGTATCCTGGGCCAACAGCAGATTACCCTGGATTTCGAGGAACGGTGTTCCCAACAGGAGGATCGTCTTGTTGATTTGGGGCGACAGGTTAATAGCTTGACCGCTGACGTGGGGCACCTTGGCAAAGAAGTTGCCGATGGGAAAGCTTCTTCGAAGTCTCTGTCCGCGAAGTTAAAAACGGCAGAGGATGCGGTGAAACTATTAACCGCCGATAAAAGCAACCTGAGTCAATCAGTGGAAAATTTGAAGAAGGAAAAAGAGATTCTTCAAGCGGAGAGAGATCAATTATCTTCAGATTTATTTGCTGCGCAAGGGAACCTTCACGCCAGGGATGATGATTATAAGAAGGCTTCTGGGAAAGTGGAGAAGTTGGAAGAGGCTCTGGCCGATCTGATGTATGATTCTTTCAACAACGCCCTTAAACAGGTTGACGTCAGGTATCCTGGTGCTGACATGACTGGCATGGATCCGTCTTATGATGTTGAGGATGGCCAGATTGTGAATCGCCTTGAAGGTGATGTTGTGAAGGTGATTGAAACGGCGCCAGAGACTGATGACGATGAAGGAGCTCGCGGCGTGCTTCCTATGACTGACACGGATAGTGATCATACATGAGATGATGATGGGCGTGTCACGTCAACCAATCCTGTTGTGGGTGGCAGTGGTACCGAAGTCATGATTGCTGG